CCCCCCCCTCCCCCCCCCCTTTTGTTTTTTTTTTTGTTTTTTTTAAATAACATTTAAATTGTTTCAAAAGTATATCTACATTACTACGTAACTGTGAGAGTTCTTTGTTTTGTCAAAAAAATTTTAACTTTTTTTTAATTTTTTTTATCATTATTATAATTTTAATAGAAATGGGAATTAGACAATGATATAGTATAAATATAGATACAATTCTTACATGATATGATTATGTAAAGGTTATAAGTACATATTATGTAATTAACATTCTCTCTCTCTCTCTCTCTCACACACACACATATATATATAATATTTTTTACTTTGTTTTTTTTATATATAAAAAAGCTGATTTTATTATATATATTTACTAAAAAAATATATCATATATTACTACTAATACGCACTTTTAGAGATTAAAGAGAGGGGAAGAAAATAGTTCTGAGTTTAACGTCGCCAGCTCGACTTATTTTAAAAATTAGGCAAAAAGGATTGTTGAAGCCTGTTTGTCGAAGAATTTGCTGATATAAGGCTTCAAACGATGACCGTTTACTTTGAATTTGTCTCCCCCATATGCATGTTGTACTTCAATGGCACCATAGGGGGTCACTCCTGTTACTATGTACGGTCCTGTCCAGCGTGACTTAAACTTTCCTGGGAATAATCTCAATAGGCTATTGTATAGCAGAACATGATCTCCTACTTTAAAATCTTTATGGCGGATGAGCTTGTCATGCCACTTTTTTGTCTTTTCCTTGTACAAATTAGCATTTTCATATGCTGTAAGTCTTAACTCTTCCAACTCATCAAGCTGCAATAGACGATTTTTACCTGCATCTCGTAAGTTTAGATTCAACAATTTTATAGCCCAATTGTGACGACCTGAAGGGTCATCACCGTTGTTCTTCCTTGTTCCGCGCTTTCGAGGCCTTGAAAACCTCGCTTTTAGTTGCCTCGATTGGCGTGCGCAGTTCGGGCGCGTAGCCGGAAAGTTTTTATGATAGAATATGTGAATTATGTGAAATATTTGATGAATTTCGATATTAATATGCATAATATTGACTTCGGTCAACATTTTGGGTAAACAGACCCGGACCTATGATTCGACGGTCCCGGAGGGTCCGTAGAAAAATATAGGACTTGGGCGTGTGTCCGGAATCAAATTCCGAGGTCCCAAGCCCGAGAAATGAATTTTTGAAAGAAATTATTTTCTGAAATTTGATATGAAAATTTGAAATGAAAAGGAGTTAGAAAATATAGGTATCGGGCTCGTATTTTGGTTCCGACGCCCGGTACAAGTCTTAAATATGTGTTAAGCACTATCTATAAAGGTTGGCTAAAAACAGACATCATATGACGTGTTTCGGACTAAAAATGGAGAATTTGAGTTATGAAAGTTGAAGAAAGAAAATCATGTGTTTGAGGCTTGATCCTATGTATATGATGTTATTTTGGCGATTTGATCGCACGAGTAAGTCCGTAAGATGTTTTTAAGGTTGTGTGCATGTTTGGTTTGGAGCTCCGAGGGCTCGGGTGAGTTTTGAATGGGGCCCGGGAGGTCTTGGACTTAAGAAAATGCAGGTTCAGGTGTTGCAGACACTAGCGCGGCCGCGGTCATTTCCGTGCGGTCCGCGCAGCCGCGATGCATTTTTGTACGGTCCACGTGGATGAGTCTGAGGGCTAGGGTTTCAGGTTAACCAGCGCGGCCGCGCACCAAAACTGTGCGGTCCGCGCTAAAAGGGTTCAGAAAAGCCCCAATTTTCTCCCACTCGGCGCGATCGCAACACATTTTTGTGCAGTCCGCGTCAGGTCCTCAGAAAGGTATACAAATTCAGAAAATCTCAGTCATTTTTCACTTTTAAAAAACACAAAACCTAAGAGACGATTTTCCAAACAACTTTTCTTCTCCAAAACGATTGGTAAGTGATTTCTAACTTAATTTCTTTATTCCTTAACATCTTTTAACATAATTTCAACTTCAAATCAAAGATTTTCAGGGGTGAAATTGGGTGTTTGGGTAGAACCTAGGTTTTCTACAAATTGAGGAGTTGGACCTCAATTTGAGGTCCGATTTCAAAACAAATCATATATTTGGACACGTGGGGGAACGGATAACCGGGTTTTGGTCTGAACCTCGAGTTTCGACCACGTGGGTCCGGGGGTATTTTTAACCATTTTGGGAAAAACCTTGTAAAATTTATTTTTCATGCATGGGGAGTGATTCATTTAGTAATTATTAATGTGATTAAGTAACTTATGACTAGACTCGAGCGGATTGGTGGTGGAATCAAGAGGTAAAGCTATACTAGAAGCATGAGTTGAGTTTAAAGCATTCGAGGTAAATGTTTGTTCTAACTTTGGCTTGAGGGAATAGGATTAGGATGTTATTTG